AGGAACAATGGTAATAAGCTGATGGAGAACAGGTTTAGGTTAGAGATCAGAAGGCAATATTTTACAGTTAGGGTGGCCAAAATCTGGAACCAACTTCCCAGGGAAGTGGTCCTTGCCTCTACCTTGGGCAAATTCAAGAGGAGGTTGGATGATCACCTGTCTGCGGTCTTGAGAACCCAGCATTCATTCCTGCCTGTGGCAGGGGGTCAGGCTAGAAGATCTGTTCAGGTCCCTCCTGACCCTAGCTACTATGAAACTATGTAACTATGACACTTCCTTCAGGCACAAACCACACACACACAATATCTCTCTGTTTAATTTGGAAGATAAGTGCTTCAGGTAGCTCTGTGGATTAATATGCTGTTGCTTAACCACTGCTTTAGAAACCCATGCAACTTCTATTTCATGACATCACTTCCCATTGATTAGATCTGTGATCCCATTGGGGGAGGTCTCTCTTCTTCCAATATACTAGGACTTGGCAGAAGGTCTCCTTTTGCAATTCTTTGGCTTTTCTCTCCAGAGCTTTCTCAGTTGCTCTCCTCTTCTCCTACTCTGCCATACTACCTCCTGCCTTTCCTGGGCCAGTACAATACACATGGACATTGAATATTTGTTTTAACTAGCAACGGCACTGAGAACTTTAGCTGTGAAACCACAGGTAAGACTGTACATATTTCTTTAAGGCATTAAGTTAGTAAGCCCACCTCCCGCCCCCTCCCCCAAAAAGGAAGGAATAAAACAAGACAGCCTGCATATTGTTTCTCTTCATCCTTGATGAACGGACACGGACTGTTGGCTGTAAAAGTCAAAGAACAAGAAGAACTCTAAAATAAAAGTTTTGTTTTAAAAAACACCCCCAGCCCTCCCAACCCTCCCCACCTAGAAGTCACATATTAAAATAGGGAATAAGTGAAAGTATTTGAACATTCAGGGTGCAAGAGAAAGGGGGTGGCAACACTTCCATGGGATTAGGGAGAAATGGCACATCCCACTTTACACACAATCATCCTATTCATCTCTTACTTTCATCCTACTCTATCCATCCCACAAGAAAAAAAAACGTAGTGAACATCAGCAGCAACTTTATGATAGGCAATAACCCTTTTCGATGTCAGTCCAGGAAAAAAACCAGTTGATTCTCATTCTTTAAATTATATCATAGATGTGGAAAATACGCAGAGATCTTTGGAGGGTGAATTTTCACATCCGCTGTCGATATCTCAGGAAGAGCCACACTGCAGCCACTGCTAGTGCCAAACCTGGCACCAAAATGGCAGCTAAGGGAATACCACCTGGCTCTCCATCTCCTCTGTAAACCACTGGGCCATTCTGTGGCTGCAGCTATAATGGAGAAAAAGTACCAGTGTTAGAGAGATATCCCTCACTGCAGGAGAGACAGCAATACTATGTGATAATGAATAAACGCTTCTGTAAGCATGTACAACATGCCATCCACTTGTATTGTACATTTGAGGCACAGGAGGTTCAGAACATGGAACTCTGCTTCAAAAGACACCACTATGGCTTGTTCCAAAGGAAACCTTCCATTAACTACAAGCAGCATTAAATGCTTTTATATCCCTGCATAAGCAATGGACTATGCAGAGAGGACAGCTGGAGCAGGTAAAATTCCATGCAGCAGAGGGTAGCGATACACAGATCAGGAAAAGTGCATTAAACACTCCCTCTCTGGGCATCAATACATTATCTCCAGCATGTTCATTTGCCAGGAAGAGGCCTACGTTGGATCCCCCTTTATATTTGCACAGGGTGAGGGGATCTCGGCACGACCTAGCTACACATTTCTTCAAAGACTTTCCCCACCACTGGTTCAGGTTGGGTTAGCATTTCTATTATGAATTCTAGCACTGTGAGAAGGGCCACTAACAGCAGTGGCTTCTAAATGCCTTGCTGTTGCGGCGCACCTCGCTGCCCGGCTCCTAGAGAGGGGAAAACTACTGGGGAAAAGCCCTAGCAGGGATAATGAGCTCAGCTGTGAGTTGCCAGGGCAACCCCAGATAGATTGACTCACAACTAATGAGAGTCATCTGCCTGTAGGAGGCACGGCCTGGCCCTTATAAAGCCTAGGGCTGAGGCCAGGCTGGCAGTTCCCTGCCGGCAGTCAGACGGAGAGGAGCTCCTGGGGTTGAGATGCGAGAACTGCTCGAGCAGAGTAAAAGAGAGCGGCTCCGGGAGATTGGAGCAAGGTTGTTATAGCCAGGCAGCCTTAAGTTAAGTTGTAGCCAGGAGGCTTGTGGTTTTGTTGTTGTTGTTTAAAAGACCGGTGGCTAGGGTGAGGCTATAAGGGGTTGGAGGAGGCCTCATGGGGACCCCCAGAGGGGTGGGGGCCCCAGCACCTGAGAAGGGCGCAACTTGCGGGGTGTGTAGACCCCAGCCCCAGAGTGGGGCGTTTTGGAAAAGCCCCAGCACGGGCATGACGAGCCCCAGAAGGGGGCACTGCTAGGAAGCCCTAGCGTGGGCGTGGCAAGCCCCAGAAAGGGGGAGCGCACTTTAGAGGAGCCCAGCGTGGGCCCAATGAGTCCCAGAGAAAGGGGGGGGACTAGTGAGAAGCCCAAGGTGGGCATGGTGAGCCCCAAAGAGGGGGAGCGCCTTATTGAGAAGCCCGGGACGGGCATAGCGAGCTCGGTCGTAGGCTAGTACGGCAGTAGACCTCAGACAGGCGTAGGGTGCTGCGGTGGACCCCGACGGAAGGGGTTGGTGGTACAACGCCCCAGGAGAAAGGCAAGGTGCTGCGGTTCTCCCTGAGGAGAGGGGATAGCAGTGCGGTGAGCCTGGGTCAGAGAGGGTAGCCGTGCAGTGGGCCTAAGGGACCGGAGGCTCGGCCGGAAGTCCTATAGCGGGCCAGGTTGTTTTAGAGAAGGCCCAGCGAATTTAGACCCGGGGAGAGAGTGATGAGGGCGTGGTGCTGCGGTTGTCCCTGAGGAGAGGGGATAGCAGTGCGGTGAGCCTGAGGAGACAGCCCAGAGTGGGCTAGATCATAGAGGAGGCCTGGGAGAGCGGGCATGTATTCTGACGGACCAACGTCTGGTACATCTGCGAGGCTTGGGGCATGGTATTAGGGGTTGGTAGGAGCCATGCGTAGCCCATAAGGCTAGGGTGCCTGAGGAGCGCCCATCATACCGGGAGACCCCCAGGGGGTCCGGGAACACACGGGGACAGAGGTCCCAGCTAACCGTGGTAAGGCAGCCTCCCAACTTTATCTAACCAGCAAAGACGTGGCGGGCGAGAATTTGAGGGTGCCCTTGGGCCGACTTGGCATGGTGAGGGGGCCGTAAGGAGATCACGGCCCTCCTGAAGGACCCCGCCGTGACACTTGCCTTTACCTCCAGACCGAGGGTATAAAAATACCAGCACTATTAAGCTTCCTCCACACTGCCTTGCAAATGTGCCTCACCCCTAAGATGAAGGGATGGCCTATAGGTATTCTCATTTAGGGTCCCACCAGTCTTTAGCCTCCTAGCCAAGACTGACATGTAGGGCATCAACCACTCCTCTAAACATCTTGCTTTCTTCTACCCAGCAACAACATAAAACTGGAGATTTAGGTGTAGGAGGGGACTTGGGATTTCATCTGCTCATATCATGAAACAGTGCATCTCTTACACAACAGAGGAGGGTGAGGACAGACTCTAAACCCTCTCTCTCCCATCCCAAGTGCTACTAGAAAATAGTAATATTATATACAGATACTGCCAGTGCTTGGTTACTTGGTGAAGGCCTCCTAGAAGAGGCCATTCATTAACATAAAAAAACCCAAACCAAGGAAACCCTGCACACATTGTTCACATTGAATCCCTGGGAATTCTGTTATTTTTTCCACAGAGAAAAGAGGGATACATAAGAACTCAGGTCACCCCTTAGAAGCTTGTTATACATACCCTGTGCTGGACTTTCAGAGACACGTCATCGCCTGCATTCCTGAACAAGTCCACAGCCTCCTGGTGCTGCAAGTCCTTGAGGTCCCTGCCATTAATCTAACAAAGGAACAAAAGGAAGAACCAGTAGCTGTGAGATCAGAAATCAACTCTTGGAGAGACTGGACAAGGTAACAGGAAACAGTTTAGGTGGCCAACATTATTCTACATGGGAAATCTAATGAAAAGAAGAGGTTAGAAGTTTGGAGCTGGTTCTGAACTTTGTAGCTTGGTCTCACCTTTTATTCTGATACGCAGAGTGGATAAAGGGACATAGACAATACAATCATATTTATCCAAAGCCTTTTACCTAAATTATATTATGCTTCCTGCTATGAAATACCTGCTTAAGAGCCTACCTTTCTTACCCAGCTTCTCCTACCCAGGTTTACTTGAGTGCCTGAAACAAACCAGGTGCCACTGTGAATTATTTTTACCTTTTGAAGAAATAAAGCAATGTCAGGTGGAAAGGATATTTTTGGCTGATGGTACAGGATCTAATGAACATGAAGCACAATGCAGGGCAAGTATATCAGAATCCAACAGATACTCATGTCCACTGTCCTGCTTCAAGTCCCTCTGAAGTATGTGGAATGAAACATGCTAATACTTTGTCCCAGGACATGGCTTGGGTGCACCTGCAAGGTTATGGTGGGTTTCTGTTATTCCTGGGACAAGCTGGCTGGGCTGTGTGCTCTTGCTGGCCACCTAGATGCAGAGAAGCAGCAATGCACCTTAGAAGGGCTACATGTTCAAATGACTGTGCTGTGCCTGTTCTGATTCAGGTCAAACCGCCAGGACAAGCACAAAGTTTAGAAGCTAATCCAAGTTATCCTGGACTGTTTTTTACATTAATAATTAAAAACACATTTTTCTTATTGGCAAAGCAGAAAACTTTTCCTCCAACTTTGCAAATATATTCATGTTTGGCTTCAGATGAAGCATGAGAAACGTCAACCCATACAGAATAGCTGTTGAGAAAGTTACATGGGAGCAAAACCAGGTTAGAATGGACTAGCTCTGTCAACATTGGTTCTTGTGGAGTCATTCATTTTGCTAAGGGACCCAACAGGTAAAAAGATACAACTGAGACAGCTAATATTACAAGGTCTCCTGGTTATTAGACTCTTGCTTAATAAAGGGCCAAATATTAGAATCAAAACTCCAAAACCAACACAAGAAGCATTGTACTACACACATGTTCTACTGCTTGTGAGCATCTCATTTTATCAAATCAGCTGCTTATAAGAATCAGTCTTAAACTATAATCTATACATCCAAGCCTTTTCCCCACTGGCCATTGGAATTAAGAGAGAAGTGGTTAGCTATGTTAGTCTGAAGTCAGGCAGAAGGCAGGGTAAATTTGCACTTTGTAAACTAAATAAATCAGAGATTATATATATATTAGCATAAGCTTTCATGGCAGCATCTGATAAAGTGATCTTAGGCTCACAAAAGCTTATGTTATACAAGTGTGTGTGTGTGTGTGTGTGTGTACCAAATATATACATATATAACATATGGTTTAGTTAGTCTGTAAAGTGCAAATCTACCCTACCTTCTGCTAGAATCAAGTCAGTTCAAACTGCCTCTGTGTGAGCACATTCACTGTACAACTAAGTTGCTACACAACAACCTGTGACTGCTGAGTATCACAGTGTTGACCAGCTAACAACTTTTTTTTTTTTTTTTTTTGAGAGTGCTTAACTCTACTGAAGGAGTAACCAGAAGCTGAGAAAGTGCCATCAAAAGGAGGCAGCAATGAAGCTGGGCATGTCTCATTTGATTCTCAGCAAAGTTTTAAAGCAAAAAGGTATTTACCTTCTGCACTGACCATGGGAACCTCAATGCTAACTATGAACACAAGAGTGGGGAAAAGACTGAAATCTCTTTGGTTCACACATGCACAACACCACAAAGCATTAATCACCTGCTGAATCCTTGTCAAGAAGGCAAGAAGCCCAACAACGATGACTGGTTATACTAATTCTAAGCCCACTAACAGTTGAGTAGGTAAAAGGAAAGACATGGCAGCATGCTGAAAAAGCAGAATGCCAATGCAATGTCAGTGGAAAGAGGGTGTCACAGGTTTTGCCCAAATTGCTGCAAGAGTATTGTGCTGATGATTTTCAGCACAGATGAAACTGGCTTTTTTTTCCCCCTCCAAAGCAATGCCTAATCACTAAGGTGATCGTATTTCCCTAGTTCCAAGCCAGGACACACCATTGTCTCTGAGCTCAATTATCAGCTGAGTGTATTGGAGAGTAGAGGGGAAATGGGAAGGGGGATTGAAAGTCATGTCTTTTTGCCAAGATAGTTCCATTTTTAAACATCAGTTCCGCAGATTAATTTAATTTGACCAAACAGGTCCCCTCTGCACATTACAGTTACCATGCAATTAACTGGTGAATTGTGCAGTTAACTTGAGACCAGCTACATATGCAGAGTAGCTAACACATGATAAATGCTCCAACCAGCTATACAGTTAGACCTCGAAAATGTGTACTAACTTTATAGCTGGTTGCTATTGAGCTTTAATTTGCAAGTGTGGCAGGGCCTCTCTTGCAGCTGCAAGTCCGTCAGCTAACAGGGCTCCAACCACAGGGGTGCAAGCCCGGAGCTCTAGGGATTGCGGCTGCCATGGACTTGGGGGTGCATGAAATCCCTGGGCTCACACAGGTAGACAAGGTTCCTTGGGTGAATCTAATATCTTTTATTAGACCAACCCAAATAGTTGGAAAATAGTTATTAGGCAAGCTTTTGGGTTCAAAAACCCTTCGTCAGGCTAACTGTCACTTCCCAGAGACGAGCCTATGAACTCTACTTCATCAACCTCCTGGATACTAAAAATCATGGACTAAATATAGACATTGGATTTATGACACATTATAACCTGCCTGACATCTGACTCGCCAGGTATCTCTCGACTTTCATCCCCCTTCTCTCTCTTCCCCCCCATCCCCCTCCCCAGCCTCTCTCTCACCCATTGACTCCTCAATCTACATTTTCACTGACTACCTGTCTTGTATGCATACCAGCCCAGCCGCTGGCTTCTTTACTTTTCATTCCATCCAGGAAGAGCACGCACCAACTGCTGAAACTTCCTTAGCCTGACGAAGGGTTTTTGAACCCGAAAGCTTGCCTAATAACTACTTTCCAACTATTTGGGTTGGTCTAATAAAAGATATCAGATTCACCCAAGGAACCTTGTCTGCCTATGTCCTTAGACCAACACACAACAACCTACACTCCTGGGCTCGCACGGGGCTCTTGGTCCCAGCTGCACCTCACATGCAGCTGCGGCCCAGAGATCCCACAGCTGATGGGGCTCTGGGTCCAGGCTGCGCCACATGCACAGCTGGGACCCAGAATCCCATGGTTGATGGGGTCTCTGGGTCCTGGCTGCACATGGCGCCTGTGGCCTCAGCTGTGGGTGCCTGCTTCTTGCCAATTCACCAGCAATAAAAAGCAATTGGATCCAGTGCATGATCCCACAATCATGCCTCTTACCATACATGTGTGGCATGGCAGGCGGTGCAAAAAGATGTTTTAAAAGGGGCATTCCTAGCAAAAATGGGAAGTATGATCACCCTATGAATCAGACTTTTCTTTTCAAACTTGTTAATGGTGGAAAGAAGCAGAAAGATGGCATTACTGTGCTTCTGATTTGCAATATTAGGCATTAAAAAAAACCCAAAACCCTAGTAAGTCAGAAGGAAGAGCAAGACTCCACAATGCTCTCATGGGGTGAGCACTACCCATTGACTGAAGAGCAAGCAAAAATGTACAGATGACAAGCTCAAGCCTCGAGGAATTCCTAAATGAATGGCACCATGAACTTGTGAAAAAGTTTTGGAAGATTGTTTTGTTGCTGGATAATCCTTCTGGGCACCTGTCAAATGTTGTATTGCAGAATATTTACTATTTTTCCTGCCAACACGACCTCAGTCATACAGATTCCCAATCAAGACATCATACAAAGCATCAAGAACATACACTAACATATTTGTGACAAAGTAATTGCAACAATCAATGAAACTCAAGGCACTGGCTGTGGTACGTCCAAGAACTAGCGCTTCTGAATGCTCTTCAAAAGCAAAGTCATTGGGACACTGTTAAAGCTGACACCATCTGTCATTACTTCAAGGCAGGAATTGCCAACATGACTCACGTAGGTGAGGAAGTCAAAAACCATTCTCCATCTGGAAAAAGGCCACTTCAAACCTTTAAAAAAAATTGGTGGCCTTTGACAAAGGAACTGATGGTCACAGCAGAAGTCAGCAAGCAAGACATTATTGACAAGATCCAAGAGTGACACAAGCCAAATGCACATCTAGTCAATGAAAAATGTGACAAAACTGAAGCAAGACAACAGCCTTCTTGTACAGATGTTAGTTTTCCATAGGCTTGAGAACAAAGGTGACAGCACAACAGAGGACAACAAAAATGTTAGAAAAGGAAGTCTCAGAGTTCCTGAAAATGACAAAGTGGCAGGAAATTTTACATGAGTATTTTAGGCAACAGATGTAAATGTTAGATGTCAAAGTCTGCTGGCCTGTAGTATTTATTGTTTAAATTTTATTGTCATAATTAATAAAATCCAATGAAGCATCAAAACTGTCAAGTTTTCCAACAGGAGTTTGCATGGACTTTTTACTTCACTTCCTTTATTAAAATCAGAGATGTTCTGCCTGCTATGATTCTAATAACTGATGGACTTTGTAGTAAAAAAGCCAATATTAATTACAGATTGAGAAGCTATGTATTACCACCACAGTGTAAGTTAGATATCTAAACAAAAGTCTTAAGGGGAAAAAATTAAAAGAGGATTGCAAATTTCTGTAAAGAGAATCAAAAGCAGAATATGATATAGTAAATTTGTCCTAACCAATTCTTACATTTTTTTTTTTAGGAGAGATGCAATTTAAACAAAACATTTTAAGGATGTAAAAAAGATATGCACTAAGGATTTGATAAATCAATTAGACATGCTAGCATTTGCCCCATTTAAAAATGTGCGCATGGATATTTGAGACAGGTATTGCCAAATACTTAACTGTAGAATGCATTCATGCTTAATGGATGATCATTTACTAACAGATCAAGCATGCAATCAAAAATAAAAGCTTTCATTTTCAGTTGCCTTGCCTTGAACCTTTTATTGGCCATCATAAGATAATGATGCCCTTTTATTAAGTATAAGGGCATGGAGGGAGGTCGGCAGTGGGGTCCCGCAGGGTTCGGTCCTCGGACCGATATTATTCAATATCTTCATCAGCGATTTGGATGAGGGCGTGGAGAGCACCCTCTCCAAGTTCGCTGATGATACCAAGTTATGGGGTAAAGTTAGTACACTGGAGGGCAGGGAGCAGATTCAGGCTGACCTGGACAGGTTGGATCAATGGGCAGAGAGAAATAGGCTGCAATTTAATAAAGATAAATGTAAGGTACTCCACCTGGGAAGGAGGAACCCCCAGCACACCTATAGGTTGGGGAGTGTCCTTCTCAGCAGCTCGGAGGCAGAGAGGGATCTTGGAGTCATAACTGACTCCAAGATGAACATGAGCCGGCAGTGTAACGAGGCCAGCACAAAGGCCAAGCGTGGGCGCCACACTTCAAGAGGGATGCGGGGAATCTGGAGAGGGTCCAGAGGAGGGCCACTTGCATGATTAGTGGCCTTCGTGATAGACCCTACGGGGGGAGGCTGAGAGAGCTGAATCTCTTCAGCCTTCACAAGAGACGGCTGAGGGGAGATCTTGTGGCCGCCTATAAATTTATTAGGGGAGGTCAACGGGGAATAGGGGATGCGCTGTTTACTAAGGCGCCCCAGGGAGTGACTAGGAATAATGGGTGTAAACTAGTTGAAAGTGGATTTAGGTTAGATATTAGGAAGAAATTGTTCACAGTAAGGGTGGCCAGGATCTGGAATGGGCTTCCAAGAGAGGTGGTGCTATCACCTAGCTTGGAGGTCTTCAAGAGGAGGCTAGACAGTCACCTGGCTGGGGTCATCTGACCTTGGTCCTCTTTCCTGCCAGGAGTAGGGGGTCGGACACGATGATCCACTGTGGTCCCTTCCAACTCTACAGTCTATGACTCTATAAGGCATGAACACTGGATCATTTTTAATTAACATGCTAGACCAGGGATACTCAACCTTTTTCCCCAGCGGGCCGGATTGGCAGTGCTCTGTCTGTCCATGGGCCAGATCCTGCTGGTGGTCCCAATCTGGCACCGGGGCCAATGCAATGGGCACCATCTGGCCATGGGGAAAGGGGCGTGGGGCAGCCTAGCCGCAGCCCAGCCCCACAGGATGTGGCTTGACCCCAAGGGAAAAAAGGCAGCATGGCTTGGCCCTGCAGGGAAAAAGGGGTGTGAGCCAGCCCCAATCCAGATGCAGGGGAGGAGGCACGGCCCAGCTGCAACTGACACAGCAGACCTTGGGGTTTGGGATTTTGGCAGGGGAGTGAGAGGTGACCATATTAATGGCCACCGTTCCCCTGCCACCAAATTTCCCTCCTCATGGGGAGCTCTGCAAGCCAGATGCAATGGCTCTACAAGCTGCATTTGGCCCGCAGGCTGGGGATTGAGCACACTTGGGCTAGACAAATGCAAATGCAACCCATGGAATAAAGCTAGATGGATCTCTACAATTGTGCGCTGTCCAGCCCTGTCTAGAAAGTTATTCCAATAACAGAAATCCATTATTTCTCACTGAAAAACATTTCATAGCCAGGTTACATCGAACATATTTTCAGATATTCCGCCTAAAATGTCTTTTGCCCCATTATGTACCATTGCTCTTAGATCACACTAACCTCTTCCTCCTCTTTTTGGCATTTACATGCTTCAAATACACACACACAAAATTATTATACTGCCAAGATAAAGTAATACAGCTTCCCTCATTTTAACTTTATATCACTCTTTGGATCAATAGTCAGACTCCATCTTACACAAGTCACTCTTAATTTATTTATAGTGCCTGCAAATGCTTTACATAGGAAAGATTAACAAATGAGTTTTAAAAATGTGCATGTGATAGATTATCAGCAAATACTTGTGCATATCTCTGCTTGTTAAAAAAGATTGCTTTGCATGACTGATAATACTAAAAGACAACATCCGAGCCACCTTTTTACATAATTCTGTTGAGGAGAAAGAGCCTAAATTACTTTTGATGTATTACACTTCAATCTTTTATGGCTCAATAGGAAGCTCAGATTCTCCTGAGCAAAGCAGTTAGTGCTGTAATCATCTTTATTCCACTGACCAGCATAAATGGGAAAGCTACCTGGAGATTAAGAGACTGTTTTTTCTCATTTAAATCAATATAAATCACAAGTAACTCTATTAAATTTATGTAGAATTACGGTAGTATAATATGTGAAGAGAATGTAGGCCTGGTTAGCTTAGAACCTTTTAAGTCATCATAAGTGGTCCTAGCAGGGAGGTTCCAGAGGGTGGTGATGGGTGAGTGTCCATCATCCCCTCAGGACCCTCCCTGTAGGGTTGCCCAGGGTTTTATCTTCTCACCCCTCCTGCTCAAAGTGTGTATGAAGCTGCTGGGTGAGATTATGTGGAGATTTGGTGTGAAGTGCCATCAGCATGCTGATGACACTCAGCTCCACCTCTCCTTCCCTTCTGACCCTGGCCCCCAAGTCTACACTGACAACTGGATGTGGGGAGAACCAACTGAAACTGAATCTGGACAAGACTGAGGTGATGGTGGTGGGCAAACCACTTGCCTTGGGTGGGGATTGGAACACCTATCATTGATGGGGTTCAGCCTCCCCTTGTCACTCATGTTTGCAAGCTTAGGGTGCTCCTGGGTCTTCAGGTAGCAGCTGTGGCTAGGATCACCTTTCACCAATTCCATCTGGTGAGAAGGTTGCAACCCTTTCTTTCAGATTCAGATCTGGCCAGTGGACACCACCATCCATGACTTCATAATCTCAAGGCTAGACTACTGCAATGTGCTCTACATAGGGCTGCCTTTGAAAAATGTCTGAAAGCTGCAGTTGGTGAAAATGTGACAGCCCACCTTCTGATGGGGGTGGGGTGCCAAGAGCACATAACTCCAATCCTTCAGCATCTGCACTGGTTTCCAATAGCTTTCTGGGCACAACCTAAGGCACTGGATTTGACCTACAAGGCCTTATATGGTCTGGGCCATACATACCTAAAGGACAGCCTTGTCTCTTGTGCCTCACTGCAATCCCCAAGTTGAGCTGAGAGCAACCTCCTGCAAGTACTATCGCTATTGTAAGTCTGGTTGGTATCAAACATGGGAAGTCATTCTTGGTAATTGCTCTCCAGCTCTGGAACTCCCTCCTTCAGACCCACCAGAGTCCAAGCCTGGACATGTTTTGGAAGCACTGTAAGACTTTCCTACTTGGGGAAGTCTTCAGCAAACAAAGCTAGACTGAGACATTGCTTAGTAGGTCTGTGTTTAAAATCTACTATTGTAAGCCTCCCCAGTACCTTTGGTGGAAAGGGCAGCATATTAATTGCATAAATGAATTTGAGCAGTGGTACTCAACCTTTTTGGACTTGAGGCACCCTTCCATAACTTTTGTGAATTGACTGGCACCCAGTTTCAAAAACTAATTTTTAGCTCCTTGCAGTGCTCACCTCCTTGCAGAGGGGCTAGGTAGTGGGAAAGGGGAATTGGGCAGGCAGGGACAAGTTTGATCCCGCACTTATCTACTTATCTCCTCAGACTTCTTGACAGCCTTCAAAGGATCTTGCACACCCGAGCTGAGACTCACTGCCCTTGAGCTTACCCAGAGCTGTTCCCCATCTATAATGGCCTGTAAAGCATTGTCTCATAAGTTTGTTAATGCAGCTCCTTGAGATCACAACTTCATATTCAAGTGAAGACAAGCCCGTAGCTAACCCAAATCTGAAAAGGTTCCACCTATCCACTATAGGACATGCTAAGAAAAATCACAAAGAATCTCCTTGTTTAGCATTGGCTGGCAGAAACAAAAGTGCACAGATTAATAAACTGCCATGACTGACAAAAGAAGGGATTGCACTGAACCACTTTTCTCAATGAACTGCTTTGAACAGGAGACCTCTGACGCAGAACTGCTAGGTAAGAAGAGAGACAAGGTATAAAAGAGGATGGGAGAGAAGGGCTTACCGCTAAAATTTTGTCCCCCTCTTGTACTCGGCCATCCACAGCAGCAGCCCCATTTTCTTTGATCCGGCTGACATAGATGCCACTGTCGTTGGGCAAGTATGGCTGATCCGTCCCTCCAACAATGTTAAAGCCTAACCCTGAGACATGCAAGAGACAGAGCACATCAAACAAGGGAAATAGGAGAGATAGCTAGCCACAATTTGAGCCACCCTTGCAGCTGGTAGGGATAATAATCTACATCAGAGGCAGGCAAAATCCGGGCCACAGGCCACATCAAGTCTGCAGTGGACTCCATTTCCCAGCAGTCCCTGCCTACATCACTGCAGCTGGTTTCTACGGAGACCCCAGCAGCAGCGGAGCCAGGGTTTCCACGGAGACCAGATTGGCCTCATCAGGGCTGGCAGCTGGGCGGGGAGCTGCTCCAGGGCTGGGATCTTATGGCAGTGGCAGCGTGGTCTGGAGCCAGGGCAGAGCTGCAATCTGCCGCCCACATGCCCTGGGCAAGGGTGCGCAGGCAGCAGATTTTGGCACTGCCCCGGCTCCAAACTATGCTGTCACTGCCATAAAATCCCAACCCTGACCCCAGAGCAGCTTCCCACCCAGTTGTACACCCTGCCAGCGCTGCTGGAGCCAGTCTCCATGGAAACCCTGGCCCCCCCAATGCTGGGGTTTTCATGGAAACTGGCTGAAGCGATATGGGTAGGGGCTGCTGGGAAATGGAGTCCAGCCACTGGCTGGATTTGCCATTGTGCCCACCCCTAGCCTGTATGCTGCCCTGCCTCCTCCTCTACCTTGCAATTCCCAGTGTAGCCGCACACAAACCTGCACATACTCCAAGCCCTCACTGTCCAGAACAATTTTCTCCTCAATAACTTTTTACTTAAAGGAAACAAACATGACTGATATCTCACAGTGGACCTTCAAGCAAAAGTGCATCAGACCTACACCAACTTTTGAGAGGCAAGTAAGCAGTAACCTCATTTTACAATAGAGAGACTTGACATGACTTGTTCAAGGTCTCACAGAGCCCAGATTTCTCAGCTCCCAGCCCTGTATTTAACCACATCTAATGACTTAGATCAGGCTTTAGGGCATTCTTTATTTCCTTGAATAAAACCATCTCATATTTGAAGTGAGCACTTGGTGCCGTCTCAGGAATCCAAAAACATGACAGGAAATGAAGACAAAACTCTATGTTTTAAAAAACAAACTAGAAAATTGCATAAATTGACACAGAAATTATATCCGCATTAAGGCAGGGTTTTTAGAGGGTTTGGGATTTTTTTTTTAAAAATAAACCTTGATTATCGAATTCTGGTTGTAGCCAGCTGGTGGATTAAAGTTCCCTGGAAGATTAAGACTTGTTTGCTTAGTCTAATCCAGAACAGACTGAATTCAAAAGCTAAAACACAGGGGTTGCTAGAGCCCCTTCTGTATCACAGATGCAAAGAAACAGGTTTATAAATAATAATAAATGATAAGGATGGGGGATTTAGCTGCAAGAAGTTTGGGAAGTCAAACTTTACCAAAACAGCTGAGAAAGGGAAGAAGGAGAGGAGGAATTAGGCATATTCTGATAGAAACTTGTCACCCAGAAGCTACCAGCAGTATGGGTCTGATATAAATTCCTGCTTCCCAACACCCACTTCACCAGCTGAATACCTCTCTCTCTCTGCCTGCATTGGGTGGAGAACAGAGAACACTGAACAAGCAGCTTATAACCAGAAAAGTGGCTTGCCACAGCTTGTGGTACCTTTTTAGTTTAGTATTAGGATATCAAAGGGCAGAGGGGCGAGCTATAGCGTTCACAGAGTACAATCTCTGCTGGAAAAGCAGGGGAACATGAAGAGCTCCCATTCACCCATCATTCTTCCTGCTCCTTCTTGCCCATATTAGACAAATGGTGGAGAGGGTGGACTTGGTAGCAGAAACTGTGGGGATACAGGGTTGGGGAGGTGGGGGAAAATGAAGGAGATACTGGAATTTCTGGTACCCTAGTAGCAGCTTTAAATAAGTTTACATTTTCTGTGGCAGTTAAAATGAAAAACAAATTAACAAGTGTGTGCCATAAAACTAATAATCTGGGAACAAAGCATCAGTGCCATAGAATATTTACTGGGGAGAGAGGAAAACATGAAAGAATCCTACTCTCTTGTTTTGCAGCAGGAACAGTCATGACCAAATAAAGGTTTTCATAAGATTTCTTTAATCAGAGCACACTATGTTTTAAAAAGTCATTATCTTTTGGATGCAGTTTGGGAAGGAGGGATGTGGGTGGGTGAAGGTGAGTGTGAAATGAATAGCGGTAACTGTTTCTTCTAGGTCATCCATACAAAACACTTGTGCCGGGTAAAAAAGTCTCACAGTTCTGCCTTGCTTGGTAAAGGGTAGCCATTTAGCTACAGATTTAGAGGCAGATTAACCCCAACAGCAGAAAACCAGAAAATAATCTGTCTTCACAAAACATGACTTTTCACCAGCTCAAAAAGAATTGAACAACAACAAAAAAGTGCAAACACCAGGCGCACACTCTTCTACCATGGTGGATATTTTTGCCATTCTGCAATTTTTTGACAGATGTTTTTCACAGTACCCTTTTTAAGAGTTTGTAAACCAGTCAATGTACAGTTTGAGAGACAGGATTATACTGTGCTATATAGAATACCAGTACTTTGCTCTTTGGACACAGAAGTGAATGATAAGCGATGTGATAAGGGCTCTATTATTATGACAAGTTGATGGTACCTTCACCCTATTGGTTAGTACACACTTAGCATCTAATATTTTTTTTAATGTATCTGCTATGTTCTCTAGAACACAGAGATCTAAATAATTATATTTCAGATCCAGGGGATAAGAGACTAAATTAAACCAAAAAAATTCAAGTCGGAATATTCTCAACTGTGTGGGAATAGTTGCCAGTCAGCAGGGGTTTCTATTCAGCAAATGAGAATTTTATCAGCAGTTAGTTAGCATAAGGGCATCAACTGAACACCAGAGCAACCAGAGTTAAGACCGCTAAAGCAGTACAGACATAGAAGCAGCCCAGCTCCTCTGAACAGGACTGGATGATTCAGCATGTGCAAACTCTTTCAAATTTAGGCTACCAGTTTAAACAGGTTTAGGATCAGATGCCAAGCATACTAGAGAGATCTGGCGGGGGGTTTCTGGCTTGCTGCTACCTGTGTTGTACCTTTATCCTGTGAATAACTAGGTGACTTAAGCATGCAAGGCTCTGAAGCCAGTGCCTTTCACTAGGCATGTCTACACACACGATTAATATGCACTAATAAGACTAATATGCACGAATAAGCTTTTTTGTGTACAGCAGCACATGTGTAGACACTGCCCCAGCTGGCTGGGGCACAGGGTGCTTCATAGTGGAAGGCAGCCCCTGTGCCATGCAGCCACTCGGCAACACATGGAGATGGGGGGGCGGGAGGGAGGGTGCTGACTGGTTGCTCCCCCTGCCAGTCTCCATGTGCAGGGGGGGCGGGGCAGGGGGGGGCTGGCTTTCTGAGGCCTGGGTTTCTCAGTGCAGGGGCTGCAGGCCTTGTGCTGAAGCACCTGGTGGCTCCAGCCAGCCAGGGCAGCATCTACATATGCACTGCTGTACATAAAAAAAAACTGCAGCAGGGTAATACTTATGAAATACAAGTATTTTACAAGTACTACCCTGCTGCAGAGTTTTTTAATGCATAGCAGTGCACGTGTAGACGCTGCCCTGGCTGGCTGAAAAATACAAGTACTACCCTGCTGCAGAGTTTATTAGTTTTGGGAGCCCTAAGATGGGTGCGTGTGTAGATGCTGAGACATTTACTATGCAGTTAATTAGTCAACTGTGCAGTAAATGTCTCTTGTAAGTGCACCCGCTGGAATAAGATTCACCATCAGAAACTAAAACGACATCAACAACTGAGATATGGATACTGCAGCCTCTGGAAATGACAGTGAAGCCAAAACTGGCCACCAGCTATGCTCCAGCAGGTCTGGCAGGTTTTCATTTGTACTTACCTTAATTAACATTAAACCCTGAGCCACAAAATGTAGTTCCAGATTCAGAACTTCCCTTAAGTTTGCAGGTCTTTTGGATCAAGTCTCAACTTAATGCATGTGTTACTAACTGAATGCAGTTCTTACAACAACATTTTTATTACATAATAAATCATGTCAATTTCAAAGCAAATACAATCCTGAAGGCCTGGCTGCCACAGCCTATTTGTTACACACAGGGCATGTCTACACGTGTGCTTTAATGAGCAGTAGCTTATTTTACTGCGCATTAAAGCATCATGTAAAAAAGTGTGATTAATCTGCAGTAAAATAGGCTATTGAGCATTGTCACTTAAAAACTGTGCACGTTCATTAGTGTGCATGAAGGCAGCCTAATGCACATTAGTAAAAGCTCCAAGGAAGAACACTGAGCAGAACATACCAGCCAGCACCCACGGGCCCTCAAATAAATCCAAGGAACTAGTAGACTCCACCTACTGAAATTCTGCCCAGAGATGCATATGAATGAGGGTCAGGAATATGGCCCCAGAGTCACTTGGGTTCCCCCCAGCCAGAGCCTCCTTCCTGGTCAGACAGATAGCGAGCTTAGCTACAGACAGGAAGAAGTTGACCAGGAGGTTCCAGGACTTGGTGGGGCCAAGGATGGGGAGTGCATAAAGAAACAATGTGGGCAGAAGTGCAGCCAAAACCTCAGCAGATTTCTCAGGAGGCGCTGGAAGAGGAGCTGCAGCCTGGCACACTCAAGGTAGGCATGCACCAGGGTCTCCCTCTGCTGGCAGAAAGGGCCAGTATTGGAGGTGTCCATGAAGCATGCCAGGTATATGCCCGTGGACAGAGCTCCGTGAAGGAGCTGCCAACTGAGGCCTGACTGCCAGAGTGACAGCTGACTACTTTCTCCACTGTCCTTCCCCACTTCCTTTTCCCCTTCCTACTCACATTATTGTCACTTATTGTCATTTAGGCACCTATTTAAGTAACTTACTAACCAGCACAGGCAGAGGGTAGGGCATCATCACTCTGGTCAATGTTTTCTGAAGCAACTGCTAATTTTGACTGCTCAGCAGTTTCAGAAATGCTCAACAACTGCCACCCAGGTGACATCAGTAAGAGCCGTGGGGCTTCAATATCATTCCAAGAACAAACCCAAGCTCTTCTCAGTTGAGTGCCAGTAGTAGTAAGTGCTTTGGAAAATTCTGGCCCTTGTTTATTGTGGGAATGTTCTTTATCTTTTGTCCTTCTACTAAAAGGCAAGAAGTTGAATTTTATCTGCAATTCACTATTCATATTGAATCCATTTCGTCCAATTTCTTTAAATAAAAAAAAGAACTTTCACAGTTACATTTCAACTCTTGGGGAACTTGGATTCCTTTTGAAAAGACCAGTTTTTATAGTCATCTGCTGCTCCTTATACTGGCTTTCAGTATACAACTATGCTGCAACAAGGAGTCTATTCTTTTATCCTCAGCAAGAGGGTGCCACTACAGTGGGGTGGGCAAAATGCGGCCTGGGGGCCGGATGCGACCTGCCAGGCCATTCTATCCAGCCTGCAGGACCCCTAAAAAATTTAGAAAATTAATATTAATCTGCCCTGGGCTGCCTGTTATGTAGCCCTTGATAGCTTGCCAAAACTCAGTAAGCAGCCCTCTGCCCAAAATAACTGCCCAATCCTGTGTGACTACAGCATAGGCCAGAATACAAGAAAATATAATGGAGTGCTATGATCAACAGGATGGAAACCACTGGAGTATTTAAATGGGGAGTTCTGAGGTCACACTGGCTGCTTACAGATGTAAAACCCCCCTCAAAAACCAACATTTACTTTAAACTCAGGACACCCCCACACTGAGCCCACCACATAACTAGAAGAGGCAGTGTGCATTGGACCTGGTTCACCCAACCTCTGTATAAATCAGGCACTTTAGTGAGGCTTTTTTGGTGCTTTAATAGCTGATTGAATCAGCTTTAAATAAAAATGCTATAAAAGCCACACTGAAGCACCTGATCTATACAGACAGTGCGGAGCTGGGTTGAACTGATGCGCTGCTTCTTCCGATAAAGCACACTTTTTTCCCCACCCCCATGTGTCAGCAGCCATAACTGTTGCCCCCAGGATTACTTTTGCAAGAAACCCCCAAGAGATTACCTTTACCCATTAGCTGTAGTTCCCAACTTGACATCGTCAATCCCTCTCTGGCCCCTGGCTGGCTCGCCAATTGTTGCCCACAGGATTCCTTTTACCAGAGACCCCCAAGGATTGACACGGCCCCTCGTCCGATTTGGTATCAAGTAAACTTTATTAGTAACCCCTAGGGCTCATTACAAGATAATTATCCTTGTAATATGACCTGGCAAGTGGTTGATTCCTTAGACATTACAGCAGTGACCTTCGGTGGTACCGGCCCCAGATCCTCAGCTGGGTGTGCGAGATGTTAGTTTCTGGATTCCTTGTTACTCAAAGCAAGATTTCCAAGGCTGCTCCTGTCTCCCCAGGGTGGCAACACAAACACACACTGTCTCTTTGTTTGTCCACTACTTTTGTAAGTTTCATATCTCAAACTGTCCAGTCCTCAAGTTTCTTACCTCATCTTTTTAGATAAGGTACTCCAATCCTATTCTGTTTTTGGTTTCCTTTCCTTTTAGGGAAACTATGGGCTAACCAGGTAGAGATCACAGCACTCACTTTTCCCAGTGCCTTATAAGGCACTCTATACAATTGAATTCCTTAGTTCTGGGAAGGCCTAAAGTTATGTTAGGAGCCTGAGCATAACTCAATTTGTCTGTTACAATAATGACCAGCTAACATGCATTGTTAAATTGTGGTATAATATGCCTACACTTGGCCTAGGTAGAGCTTCAAATCACATTAGCCAACTTACGTATTTCTGCTCCCTAGTCTAAATAAGGTCCAAAGCTCAGAACCACAAAGTATTTAGGCACCCAACTCCCATAAGTGTTTGGTGCCTACTTCCCACTGAAATTAATTTGTGGACTGGGGCTCATGGGACCAGCAAGAACAAAAAAGCAGCAGAATCAACCGTTTCTTGTTGTCACCCATTTCCTCCAGGTAGGCAAGAGCAATCCCTAACAACTCCAGACTCTCCCTATGCCTTAGGAAGGGTGTTTGTGCCCAAAAGCTTGCAAAGAGCAATCTTTCCAACTATTTCGTTGGTCTAATAAAAGATATCACATCTACCCAAAGAACCTTGTCAGCTTCTTCCCCTCCTCCCCCTCATTAATTGTTTGGTAGCACAGAGTCCCACATGTGCACCTCACCAGGACTTCCCTCTCAGGTTTGTTCTCTCTTGCAATTTTATCTCCTAGACTTTCACTGCAGTTTAAAAAAACAAAACAAAAAACGAAACAGCTTTCAGTTGAACCTTAAGTCTCATGTTGTTCTTCCTTTTAAAAAGCACAACTAGCATATAGTCAAGATATGCACACACGTGTATTGCCTTGGAAAACAATCCGGCTGCGTTCTCCGTCTCGCTCACACAGTCAAAACTATTATTTTATTGCGGATCTTTTATTTGCAAACCAGAGAGCAAGGCAGCCTCACTGCAAATGCTTCTGTCACTTTACGGAGTAAGGAAGCAGGGCGGGAGGAGAGGGGGAGACACGTGAATTTAATTCAAGCGCAGAGCAATGTTAACCCCTCCCCAGCAGCACGAGAAGCCACATGGCTGGGGAGCATTCTTGCAAGCATGCCAGAAAGGAGAGCTCTGAGTGCTGGTATTCACTGCCACCTCCTGCTGAGATTTCCTTTCCATCCTGAAGGTCTTTGCAAATGTCTCTGCTGCTGGAAACAAGGGCTGAGGTTATGCAGGCCTCGGCCTGGGGCTTTCCTGGCAGCCCTGAATCCAGGGAGGTGCTCAGAGCCAGGGGAGGCTGCAGCTGCTGATCTCGGTATGGGCAAAGCATCCAGCCCAGCCCCCGCCCCCCCAACTTCAACTCTGTACCTGAAGGTCCTCTGGTGAGATTGATCATTTCCTCAGAGAGGCCAGACTCGACTCCTCCGCTCATGCTTTATGGCTCTAAGGCTCTGCCTGCCACCTGATCCCCCGCTCCTTACTCAGCTGAAGGTGAAGCAACCTCCCTGAAGCAGATGCCGCTGCAGCACTTTCAGTTTCATCAGCCTCCAAACCGGAAAGCCCGGCTGGGAGGAGGCGGCGCGGGGAGGGGGAGCTCTGGGAGATGGAGTTTCTGGAGGCGTGCGCAGCGCTCACCTCTCTTCTTGCCGCCCCCAAGAAAGAAGGAAAAACTTCTTTCCTGTCCGAGCCCCCAAGGCCTGGAATAGGCTCCTTCCAGAGGTGGGGCAAGCACTACTCTTGGCTCCTTTAAGAAGCATTTGGACGCTTATCTTGCTGGGATCCTATGACCCCAGCTGACTTCCTGCCCCATGGGCAGGGGGCTGGACTCGATGATCTCCCGAGGTCCCTTCCAGCCCTAGTGTCTGTGAAATCTATTAAATCATTTTCCCAAGCAAGTGAATTTAACACAAGATAATGAATTTGATGCATTGCACCTTTAATTTGATTGAAGCCTGTGACGCACAACCAGTGAAGGTGCTCGTTTAAAAGTACTTCTGGAAGGATCAACAAAACCGGGCACAACAGAGAAGCGAGAGCCCAGAACCTGGGCAGTACCGGTGCCTCTTAGAGCTTGCTGCTCAAAAACAAGGGGTTGTGTTCTCCACCAACCACGTTAAAACTTTGTACAGGATCCCAGCTGAAATGAAAGGAAATGAGTTTTCCTGTCCTTAATGTTAACCAAAAGATACAGGTTTTGATATACCCCTTAGGCAGAGAGAGGAACTGGAAGTGACCCTCCTTAAGTTCCTTATTGGACTTGGATAAGGGGATGGAGCCATTCTTCCTTGGCCTATACTGTGCTCAAGGTCCAATTCAGCAGGTGTGTCATGAAAACACCAAATTGCATCAAGTCCTGAAGGGATCATAAGTGTGGGAACACCTACTTTGTCAGTCCTGATGAAGCTTAAGTTACCAGGCTTAGGCATTTAGCTGTTTAACATCCTCAAGACGTAGATGTTTTGAGTCGTGTCCAGAAGCAGACCTTTAGGTGCTAAGGGGGCCCTAAGGCAGGAAACTCAGATGTCTGTGGACCCCTTTAGGGGTTTCAGCATGCTGTGCCAAGCCCCCTATTCCAGCCCATTCTTCAGTCCAAGCCCTGAGAGTGTCTATATAGGTGAGTGACTGGGTCCAGCCAAAATGCGGCCTTTTTTTTTTTTAATTTGAGGATGGCCAAGATACCTCAGGCCATACCTCGTAAGGAGGAAGGACCCTGATCTGAGGGTTTGGTGGCTCCAGGGCTGGCAAATAGACAAGAGTTCAAGGCTGCCCATGGCCTCTACTGGCAGGACACAACGCCCTTCTCAGGTTTGGACCATTGTTTCACCCTCATTTGTGAGCCTCCGTGACTCCTGGGGTCATACCTCATGAGGAGTCTAAGAGAAGCAGTAGTCTTACTTGTGGGCTTAGTGGCTCTGTGGCTGGGTGGTAGGCTGGGAGTTAGAAAGGTATGAATTCAAGGTTGCCTGCAGAGCTGTCTTGATGGGCAGAGGCAACTAACTTGGTCTGCTCCCTGGCTGCTGCAGGGTCTTTCTCGGCCTCTCCACCCCCAGCCCCAAGCCATGCACAGCGCAGATGGGTATCTGGACCCACCTAACCAGTGGCCAGGGTCTAAGATGCTGGGTTTGGTGTAATACACCAATACTCCTTTGGAGGTTTCAGCATGCTGCACAAAGCCCACAGTTCTGGCCCGTGCTTCAGTCAGAGCCCTGGGATTGTCTATAGTCTCTATGGCACTTCTAGCTGAACAGGGGCTTGAAAGATCTAAATCTTGGAGGTAGGTACCTGCAGGGACGGACAGACAAGGCCAGTAGTGCTCAATCTTTTGGTGCAGCAGGCCAGATGAGTGGCATGGGGCCCCTCTGTCAGCCGGATCTGACCCCGCATGGGAGGATCAGACCCCGCACCACATCTGTTCAGCCCACCGCCAGATCTGAGCCTCATGCCACCTCCATGGGACATCATACTACCTCCCAGGGCCCCATGCTGCCTCCTTCAGCCACCCACTGATTCCCTCAGCCCCATGCCATTTCCCTCAGCCTCTTGAGGCCCCACACAACCTCCCAGGCCCCTAAACCACCTCCCTGGGTCAGCTGCCTCCACTCAGCCCCACTCTGCAGGACTGGGCCCCAAACCACCTCCAGCAAGTCCCTGTGGGCTCAGATTGAGCCTTGGGTCACCTGGGCACACTAATCCCACATGCTATCCAGACCCTGGGGCTTTCCACAGGTCCAAAAATTTAGCACCAGAGAAGTTGAAATTCCTGCCACTGCTCCCTGACCACCAAATTTCAGACCATGGTGGCCCCTGCAGGCCAGATGACATGGCTCCACTGGCCAGATCTGACCCCTGGACTAGATTTAAGTACCTAAACCCATTATGGACCCAGTTTTTAATCCTGTGGTTCTCGGCCTTTTCAGACTCAAAGCCTCCCTTAATAAACTTGAGGCCCTCCTCAGAAAATGCCAGCTCTTAGTTCTCTTGTTATTTTGACTAGAGAAAAATAATAGAGCAATTCTTGTGTTTCAGAGAACTCAGAAAGACCAGAAAGCAAGTCAGAATGATTTAACATTATGAATTTGTGTTTAAAATCTCCGGGGTTATCTTGTGAAGCATGTTTGTGCCATAGGGCCCTGGCAGAGAATTACTGCCATAATCCCGCTGTCTCCACTCTTTACCTGTGAGATGGGAGTGGTGATAATTCTTTTCTTCTACTCTTTCTCTCCCTTGTTTAACAGCTTGCAAAGGTTTTGTAGCAGGGAGACTTGCTTCCTCTGGGTGTGGATAGTACTGGGAATAATGAGCCTTGATATTGTTTGGGGTTTCCAGGATCTATTGTACTACATGTAATATGAGCTGTAATTTTTTTAAACTGGTGTTTTAGTCAGGGAAGGTGGGATTTCCCTTATTTAGAAACCCCAGAGGAAATACATGAAAAACATTTTATATTTGGTCTCATACATATAAAAGGCTGAGAAATCTGAAGATGAAGCAGTTGAAAGAAATAAGATTTGGACACATTTTGCCTGCCTCACTGCTGCTGGTGTCCCAAAACCTGGCTGCTATAACAAAGAGTACCCAAGGGCCACCATTCTGGCAGCATCCCCTCTAAATTGGTGCCCAGGAGTGGTGCCCCACTCACCCATCCCTAGCTATACTACTGGAAGACAAAATGTTTTTCTGGCACATTGAATGGTTTTCTCTTCTGTTCTGCTGCATTTTGGCAAATCAGTTTGTAGAGGTGCTGGTGTTTGTCCAACAAAATATAATGTATGCAAAGACCAAGAATTAACCCCCTCCCTAAATTTAGGCCTTCAAATCCGTATTTAAGCACCTACATAAGTAGACAGCTTTTCAAAAATGTCAGTCATCCTGCAGCTTCCATTTGCTCTCATGAACTGTACTCCTGAAAAAGCAGACTGTTTTTTAAAGTGTTTCAATATTAAGGTGACCAACTCTTACAGGTAGGGTGGCCATCATAGAGGACATTCCAGTTTTCTGTTACTCTGTCCTCTGTTGATACAAAACCCGGCGTCTTTATGTTCTCTATTTTTCTCTTCAAGGGAAAAATAGAGGACATAAAGGCATCTGGTTTCATATCAATAGAGGACAGAAGACAACCGGACTGACCTCTATGATGGCCACCCTATCCAGACCTGAAGCACCTGAAGACAAGCTAATTAGCCCATGGTTTTCTACCAGATAGGAAGCAATACAGCTGCATTCATTGCAGTAGGACAAAACCTGGCTTTAGTGGACAAAAAGGGTTTATCTGATCTAAGTCTAATTCAAAAGTTTTGCTCCAGGGGCTAGTTAGGGACTTTGGGCCATGGTCCCAAATTTGGGGACTGTAACAGACTCAGGTATTCGCTCTTCCCAGAGTCTGGTGCCCTTAGTGGCCAGACTGACCTGTCCACGTTCCCTGACCTCCTCCACCACCTATCTCTTGCCAGCCATGACTCGCTGTTAAATGAATAAAGGAAAGGTTGCCTACAAATGCTGGGATGGTGCCATTTACCTCTGTTTCTCACCCCACAGGTGTACTCCCTCTTCAAGAAGCCATAAATCACCTTAAGGGCTAATCATGACCTCCAGCCAACCCCAGTCACACCCATGCCTCAGAAATGACCCTCAGTCATCTCTTCAAGGCAGACCTCTATGTCCAAATCAACACTGGGCCCTCTGGACTTCTGCCCATCCAGCTTCAGCTCTTTTTATCTGGCTGAGACCCTTCAGCCCAGGTCCACCAGCTCAGACCTTAGCTTCCTGGTCTCTGCCCCAATAGCAGAGAATGCCTCTCAGGCACCTCTCCCACCGCCTCCTGTGCCCCTGCAGCTACAACCTGGCCCTCCAGTTTTAAGCATTGTCTGAACATAAACTAAAGCAAATTGTTTTCCAGATAAAAGCCATGCCACTTTGGCTCCGTGCCTCACCCCACACCTTCAGCTCCCATTATCATTGTCTTTGCAGCCCCAGGTAACCACTTAGATGATGGGCCAGTCCATCTCCTGAAGCCCTCTCCTTCAGGAGATTGTCTCCGTGCTGCCTGCAGGGTCAGACTCCTCTGATAGATCTTTGGCCTTGGTTTTATATGCCCCAGAGCCCCATGCCTTCTTATCAACTGGCTCTTCAGCAATACATGGGTTTCCACTTTGCTTGATAATCAGCCTTCTCCCCCCCACCCGCCCCACCCCATTCAGCTGCTTAGACTTGGTCTTACAAAATTTGGCTGTTCTTGCTGTGCCCTCCCAAGGTCCTTAACAGCCCCTAACCTCAGGGTCTGTGTTCTTGCTGGGGCTGGCTGCTGTAGCCATTGGCCCTTGAGGACTACAAAACTCCTGCTCCTCCTCTGCTTGCAGTTAACAAGGTTAGGCTCCCTGTTACAGGGACTGACTGGGAAATTTTGGGACGGTTGGTTACTTCACTAAATACAAACTTTTAGGAATAGCCTTACTGCATTCATGCAGAGTGTTGAACGAGATGATCCTTGAGGTCCCTCCCAACACTTTGATTCTATGACACTTACAATGCTAACATTAGGCAGCCATTTAAAAAAATGGCCTAGATTCAAGTAAATTGAAGAAAGGCTGGGGAAATTA